CTGGAGAAATCGGAATTCTCCCATCTCTGCACGTTTGACAACGTTCTTCTTTGTTCTCTGCGGGCTCATATTTTGTATTTCCCAGAGGCCTGGGGATGGGGAAGGGAACTTGGAGGATCTGGGAAGGAATAGCTATTACTGCACTGTGGGGCTTTGCTTTGGGCCCCGATAAAGCCATGGGAGAGGAAATGTGGGGCCTTTGTGCTTACCTGACTCCAGTGTAAGGCAATCGTTGATCAGTTTTTTCCTCTCCTCTCTTTGAAGGAGTTATTTGAGGAAAAACGTGCTGCTTAAATCAGTGCCGGCCTCTGTCCTACACAAAGAGCCAATCAGGACAGAAGCAAATCAAACGGAAAGGTCGCCTGTAGTTCAGAAAAAACGAGCAAGCCAACCAGCAAGCGCGCCAGCAAACAAAAATGGAGTTTTGAGGAGTGAAAGAACTATGATGTCGGCCATGGGTGATCAGGACACAGCCAGACAATGTGGACCCATTTCTTCAAACTCCGACTTGTTTGCTGTCTGCTTGCGGTGCTGATGGTGGCGGTGCTGGTCATCACTGTCACTCAGGTGGAGGTGAGTACCCAGGCTCCTCGCCGGGGGCGTGGTTGGACATCGAGAAGCTCACCCTGGTCACAATGCGCATTTGCACCGATTTAGTCAGTAGTTGATGCCCGCGTTGGTTATACAAAGGAGTTACACCTTGAGCAGCTCACCCCCCAGGGTCAGCAGTGTCACCCACCTGTCCCTCCTTGGGCGGAAGATGAGGCCGTTTGCTCCCATCAAGGTGTGAAGTCTCAGAAACCACCAGGGGCAGTTCTACTCTGTCCAATGAGTCAGTATCATGTTGGGGTTTGCATTGTTATATGCTGTGTTTAATCACGAGGGTGATTACCTGCTGCTGAGGCAGGCAGTGCCAATTAATGTTGAAGAAGGTGGACACAATTTATTTTGTGTGAGAAAATTGATAATCATAATTGCCGACTACGCATGACATTATAAAGAGTTTTAAAAGTGCTGTAAAGAAAGGAAAGGGAGCTACTTTAGGGTGATGAAGGAACTTTTAACTTTTACTTGTTTGTAAACATTTACATTATGAATTGGGTGAAGATTTATAAAGGAGATGACCAGTCTTATAATTTACACACTTTTTTTCCTCCATCTCATTCACTGTAATCTCCTCAAGTGGAACATCCCTCATCCCAATCCCTCCCCGTGTTTCCTGTTTCCATCCCTCCTCCTTGTTCAACTCTTTGAACTTTATCTTGGGCCATCGCTGCTTTTTTTTTAATCTCACATGGTTGATTATTCTAGGGAGCATGTGCCCCACTGGAATAAATGTTTTCCCCTCATCGACCTGTCTTTTGTTTGGCCAAAATCATGGGGGCGAGTTCAGATCCCGGCCTGAAAGGTGACTAAGGGCCATAGTCTTGGGGCTCCAGCAATCCTTACCTCACAAGTGCTTGCTACTAAGGAAGTACTCGTGGTGCGCTCCGGCTCTCCGTGTGCCGCCACAGGTGTGGGGTAGGTTCGGTACAGAAGGAAGCTGTTCTATTTTGTGGTTACGATACTTCTCAGGGTAAAGTTCCACCTTAGTTATAGCATTTCTTTACTTACTGGCTTTTATTAGCACAAGATGCTCTAAAGCTAAGCCATACATTTTCTCATTTCCTGTGTGACTCACTTTCTGATTTTTAGGGGAACCCCTAGTTTCACTGTGCAATGGGCAAAACATATGTTGTGTTTCTGAAGTAAAATTTATAAGGCACTTTGAAGAATGCAAAGTGATTCTTTTAAAAATTGCAATTGGACAGCCCCTTATGGAAGGGTTGCAAGGGAGAAACGAGCCAGTCAGGGTGCAGTATAGCAACGATGAAACATACAACTTTCCTCTAGTTCCTAAATGCTTCCCCCCCCCGCCCCCCACCACCACTATCATGATCCCAATTCTACCTTACAAATCTGGCTAGACCAGGGGATGTACACTGGTACAGATAGGAACTGGAAACACAGGAATCCAGGGGAGATGATCCCTTCAGGACCAGTGGTGAGAGTGGCGATACTGGGAGGGTAGAGGGGGAGGGGAGGGTGTAAAGGGGAAACCGATTACAAGGATTTACATATAACCTCCTCCCTGGGGGACAGACAACAGAAAAATGGGTGAAGGGAGATGTTGGACAGTGAAGATATGTCAATAATTTATAAATTATCTAGGGTTCATGAGGGAGGGGGAAACGGGGAGGGAGGGGAAAATGAGGAGCTGATGCCAGGGGCTTAAGTGGAGAGTAAATGTTTTGAGAATGATGAGGGCAATGAATGTACCAATGTGCTTTACACACTTGATGTATGTATGGATTGTGGTAAGAGTTGTATGAGCCCTTAATAAAATGATTAAAAATGTCCTACCGGAAGTGGCTGTAAAATGTTCTTACATAATTTACTAAAGGTGTCAGTACCACATTGATGGCGACTATACCCAGAACCTGTTAATGATACTTCTAGAGATTAGAGACACTCCTAATTTCTTAACAGTTTGAAAAGTCTTTTTCTAAAAAGAAAAAAGTACTTGTCTTTAAAAATGTGATTGTTTCTCAGATTATTTTAGGCGAATCACAAGTCATCCTGGCCTTTATCCCTGTTGCAGTCCCGAAAGCACAGCGCCTCGATTCTTCCTGCTGAGCGGCAGATCCACACTTGCCACACGGAGGGGCAATGTTGTGCTTTTCGATTGCAGACACATACATGTACCCACCCCTGTGTTTTTTGTTTTTCCTTTTAAAAAGGTTTATACCAGTCTCAGGATTCTAATTCAGAGTTTGGCCCCATCAGTAGTCACACAGGCCTCTCAGGCTCTGGAAGTGATAGTCTCTCTGGGGTGAGCCTCTAGGTTGACTTTCACAGTGACCAAGAGACTGTGTTTCAGGTCGGTTTGTCTCATGTTTTCAGGTTTGTACTTTGGAAAGTTTGCTGCGTGTTCCACAGGCTCTTTTAGATACCGTTTCAAAACAGCCCTGCGAGAAAGACTGTTTTGCTTTCTTTGGTAATGTGGTGGGGGATAATTAACTCCTGCACAAAGACTGTACATCCTAAGGTAGGGGTCCAGCTACTCCATTTATACCACGTCAAGAGTTTTCCCACATGCGCTGCTATAGCAGAATAAAGCAAGTTTCAAAGGAGTAAGCAGTGATCCAGAGAAGGCTTTAAATATTGAAAAACCTTATTAATGCCCATTGCTTTCTAGGAGATGGGTGGCATTTACAATGTTATTGTGCTCTTTGGAGGGAGGACCTCATTAAATCTTACTCATTTTTGCATTCCCCATTGTGCTTAGCAGTGGCTGTCACATTATGAAAGTTAATTTATGGTACAAAGAACTGAATTAATGGTAGAGGTGAGCACTGGGTTTGCGGGGTACAGATCTTAGATGGGCCCCTGACGCTGGTTTCTGAAAATAGCCCAATCAATCCAGATGCCTTTGTTTTCCGAAAAAGCGGGGCTAGTAATAGCTCCACAGGCTCCACACCTGGCCAACTAACCTCGGGGTGGGCGGGGGTCTAATGTACCCATGCATATTCATTGAGTGGGATGATCACAACTGTGCTTTCACTGGACACCCCCTTACAGAAGAGTCTTGGGAGGAGACGAGCCAGTCAAGGTTCAGGGTAGCACCGATGAAACATACAACTTTCCTCTAGTTCTTTAATGCTTTCTCCCTGCCACTATTATGATCCCAATTCTACCTCACAAATGCGGCTAGATCAGAGGATGTACACTGTACAGATAGGAACTGGAAACACAGGGAATCCAGGATAGATGAACCCCCTCAGGACCAGTGGTGAGAGTGGCGATACCGGGAGGGTAAGGGTAAGGTAGAGTAGAAAGGGGGAACCGATCACAATGATCTACATATCACCCCTTCCTTCGGGCACGGACAACAGAAAAGTGGGTGAAGGGAGATATCGGACAGTAGAAGACATGAAAAAATATTTATAAATTATCAAGGGTTCGTGAGGGAGAGAGGATGGGGGAGGGAGGGAAAAAATGAGCTGATACCAAGGGTTTAAGTGGAGAGCAAATGTTTTGAGACTGATGATGGCAACAGATGTACAAATGTGCTTGACACAATGTATGGATGTATGGATTGTGCTAAGCATTGTATGAGCCCCCAATAAAATGATTTAAAAACAAACAAATCCATATAGGTACCTGTGGGCAATGGAGGGCCTGTGCTAAGAACTCTTGTAGGCCTGACCTGATGTGTCTCTATGCTTGTAGCCTCTCCAGTTATAATTTAAGGGGCTGAGCTAAGGACATATCAGTAGAGGAGCCCTGGTGGTGTAGCGGGTTATGCACTGGGTTACTAACCGCAGAGCCAGCAGTTTGAAATCACCAGTATCTCTGCAGAAGAAAAATGAAGGTTTCTATTCCCGTAAAGATACACAGTCTCAGAACTCCACAGGGGCAGTTCTGTCCTTTCCCATAAGGTTGCTATGAGTAGGAATTGACTCCGTTCCAGTGAATTTGTTTTTGGTGTATATCAGTCTTTCCCAAAGTGGGCAACCCTGCCCCCTCTGTCCTCTGCCCCTCTGGGGCACTGGCACGATCCAGCCTACACCAAGAAATCTGGAGGACAGTTACTTGGCCAACCGACTGGGAGAGTGTTTTTTGCTCTTTCCAAAGAAAGTTAATATTATACCCATAAACCATCCCACGCTACTTCTTGAAAAGGCTGCATGGTGACCAGTTCTCTCTGGCAGTCACCTTGGTGCAGCGTATTCCTTGCCTTGATGATTCCTGCATCAGTAAATGTTTTGCCTAGGGAATCCTTCAGTCCTGCAACTGTCAGCTTAACTTTTTCCCTCGTTTGTTTCAACTTGAGATATCTACAGATGGGCTTTGGGTCTCCTCGTCAGTGTATTTGTTTGTTTTGGGTCTTCTGATACCTTATCCTGTCGATACCTCATGGTCACACAGGCTGGTATGCTTCTTCCATGTGGGCTTGATGCTTCTTTAGATGGCCACTTGCTTCTCCTAGCTGGCCACTTATTTAACTCCAAGCCGTTAAGACCCCAGATGCTATATCTTTTTTTTTTTTTTTAAGGTTTAAAGCTCATTTATTTAGTTGTTTTGGGTGGGGGTGGGGTTGTCATCCAGTCTCCATGGACCCAGTGAGAGGTTGGAGACAGAGGCGCAGAAGGAGATGAGGCTTAGTCAGGAATAAGAGGTTAAGGAAGATTTATTGAGGCAGGGTAAGAACTCCCGGGAGGTAAGGGAGAGTAGAGAAAAGGGAGGGGTGGGGGCATGAGCCCCCCGGGCGGTTCTGAGACCCAACGAGTTAGGTGAGTTCAGTCAGGGAACTCACAGCTATATCTTTTAATAGCTGGGCACCATCAGCTTTCTTCACCACATTTGCTTATGCACCCATTTTGCCTTCAGCGATCATGTCGGGGAAGGTGAGCATCACAGAATCCCAGGTTAGTAGAACAAAGTATTCTTGTGTTGAGGGAGTACCTGAGTAGAGACCCAATGTCCATCTGCTACCTTATTACTTAACATTTAAGTGTATGTATATAGACCTATATCCATATTAATATATTTATATGTTTACATATGTGCATGTCTATGTTTATACCTCTATAAATGTCTTTTTTTAAAAACATTTTATTAGGGGCTCATACAACTGTTATCGCAATCCATACACACATCAATTGTGTAAAGCGCATTTGTACATCATTCTCAAAACATTTTCTCTCCACTTAAACCCCCGACATTAGGTCCTCATTTTCCCCTCCCTCCCCGCTCCCCCCTCCCTCATGAGCCCTTGATAGTTTATAAATGGGTATTTTGTCATATCTTGCCCTGTCCGATGTCTCCCTTCACCCACTTTTCGGTTGTCTGTCCCCCAGGGAGGAGGTCACATATAGTTCCTTGTAATCGGTTCCCTCTTTCCTACCCATTCTCCCTTTACCCTCCCTGTTTCGCCACTCACACCACTGGTCCTGTAGGCCTCATCCGCCCTGGATTCCCTGGATTTTCAGTTCCTATCTGTACCAGTGTACATCCTCTGGTCTAGCCAGACTTGCAAGGTTGAATTCAAGTCATGGTAGTGGGAGCGGGGAGGAAACATTTAGGAACTAGAGGAGAGTTGTATTTCTCATCATTGTTACATCGCACCCTGACTGGCTCGTCTCCTCCCCGAGGATAAATGTCTTTTGCCACCTAGTTCTTTCCTCTATTTCTTTTTACTTTCCTCATGTCCCACTATCATGTTCAACCTTCATTCGACTTTCAGTACGTTCTCTCGGCTACATTGCACTTGATCAACCCCTACCGGGCATTCTGTGCCCTCCTTGCTATTGATTTTAGATCTCTTATTATTGTCGCCTTGTCCCTGGGTTTGTTGTCTACCCCTCCCTTTCTCACCCCTCCCTGTTTCCCATGTCCCCCCCCCCCCCCCTCCTTCCGGAGCTGTTGCCCCTGTTATTTTCTCCTCAGGATTGGTTATCCTGCCAATCTTATATAGATAGACACGAGAAAAGGAAAAGGAAAAAAAGAAAGCCTATAAATAGTCTGTGTGCTGACCCTTCTGGTGGCTTTCGTCAGGTCTGGTGAAGTGCCACGCCTGTTCAGTTCTTGTCCTTCGTCATCAATGCCATTTATTTTTGTTACTCTGCGATTAAGAGCAAGTTTCGAGTCTCTTCTGACCTTCATTTTAAGTGTTTTTGTGCGGTGACAGTCTGCTTTCACTCTGCGTGATGTTCTTGATGTCAGGCCTTCTGTCACACTCGCTGCCATTGAGTCAGCGCTGGCACCTAGTGACCCGCTGTGGATTCCCACACTGTAACTGTTGACCCTAGTAGAAAGCCCATGGTTTCAAACTGCCGACCATGCGGATTGCAGCCCAATGTGTTTTCACTATACCACCAGGGCTTCTCTTTTGTCATACAGCGGTTAAATATTACTCTAATAACCGTTGTAAAAATAAGCACTTCAGAAGGACAATTTGCTTTGGAGACATCTGGTCGTGTTGCTCGTTAGGCACATTCATTGCCCATGGTTGATAGCAGAGGGTCTAGGCCTGCTCTGACCAACGAGGGGATCTTCATCAAGTTACCTGACGTGCGTGTTCCTCCTCTGCATAAGAGATTACAGCGCCTGAGAGCTAAAATAGTTTCCCCAGGTCTCCTTTCTGCTTCTGTACCTGCAGAATGTTTAATCAACAGGACAACAACATCCTCTGACCTTGGTCTTCTTTAGAAGGTGCCCCCGTTTCCTTTATGTATTCGCATCCTGATGTAATTGTATTACAATAAGACAGCCCTGGTGAGCGCTGGTTTTTGAACCAATATCATCCCAGGTGGTTTTGTTACGGCTGAGACTTTAGCAGAGATTTCTCTGGCTGCACGTAATGACATTGATCGTGGCTCTTCTTCTGTTGTGTGTGTCTTTCTCTTAGAACTTGGACCATGAGGCCGTCTCAGCCACGTTCATCGACCGCACTGGACCGTTTCTTTCCCCTCCGGTGACAGGAATCAGCCGGAGTCCCTTCTGTGGCTATGACCACCAGACCTTGTCCCTCCAGGAGCGCATGGAGGAGAACTCCTTGCTGGCGGCCTTGCAGAGGCAGGTGCCTGACGTGGGCCCAGTCCCATTTGTTAAGAGCACCGACCCTTCTTCCAGTTACTTTGTCATCTTGAACTCGGCAGCCTTCTTCGACGTGGGAAGCCAACTGGAGGTGATAGTTCATGTGCAGGATTTTCAAAGACAGCCCAAGAAGTACGGCGGAGATTACCTGCAGGCCAGAATCCACTCGCCCAAACTACAGGCAGGGGCCGTGGGCAGAGTGGTTGACTACCAGAATGGGTTTTACAAGGTCTTTTTCACTCTGCTCTGGCCTGGCAAAGTTAGAGTGTCCATATCTTTGGTCCACCCCAGCGAAGGGATCAGAGTCCTCCATCACCTGCAGGAAGTGAAACCAGACAGGGTCTATTTCAAGAGTCTCTTCCGTTCAGGAAGAATTTCTGAAACTACAGAGTGCAACGTGTGTCTTCCTGAGGGTCTGCCCCTGTGTAACTTTACAGACGTCTACACTGGAGAGCCCTGGTTCTGCTTCAAACCAAAGAAGCTTCCTTGCAGCAGCAGAATTAACCATTTCAAAGGCGGATACCTGAGGGGCCTCCTAACTTCTGCAGAGAGTGCCCTCTTCCAGAGGTATGTGGTCCTGGGTCTTGGGGTCTCTTCCCCTCTTCCCACTGGGGGCGTGTAGTATGTGCTCCTGACCGCTTTCTAAACGTCACCTAATTCAGGAGAGGTGGTGCCTAGGAAGATGAATACAGGCTTATAATTGCAATTAGTTTTATAATAGTTTTGTGTAGTTTATTTTAAGTAAAGCCGAGTGAATGTCTAAGTTCAAATTAAGGAACTTCTACCGTTCAGTTCTTGTTTTTCACCTCGTGTGTTTTACATCAAAAATGTACGTTTAGCATAATTATGAACAAGGTTATTCATGGAACAGGTTTTAAAAAATCATCCAAGAACAGTCCGGTGAAGGGTCTAGTAGTCAGGCTGCTGTTTCATTTATTTGAGGAATTTTATTTTACTTCAGAGCTGTATAGAATTTTGAGGACAGTTGGTTTTTTTTAAACATTTTATTGGGGGCTCGTACAATTCTTATCACAATCCACATATACATCCATTGTGTTAAGCACATATGTACATTTGTTGCCATCATCATTCTCAAAACATGTGCCTTCTACTTGAGCCCTTAATATCAGCTCCATTTTTACCCCTCCCTTCCCCTTCCCCCTCCCTCATGAACCCTTCATAATTCATAAATTATTAT